TGTTAAATGTGGCAGTGCAGCTCCCCGGGGAGTTGTCTGAAAGGAGAGTGCGCTCACCAGCTGACAGCGCGTGCTCCGCTCCAGACACTCCGCACCGTAGCCAGGAGCCTTTGCCAGCGCCTCTATTGTCAGCTTTCCTCTAATTAAGAAACACTCACATTACCGCAAACCACCCCCACGCTTCTTGGTTCCTGTTCTTTTCTTTTCTTCCTTTCCCTCCTCTCCTCCCCCACCTCTCTCGGGGGTGCACAGGTTTAACTCATTCCCTTCCTCTTCGCCCCATTTTTGCAGTCAGGCTGAAGAGGGGGAGGCTAGGAGCATCAGTAGCTGGGACACCGATTCTTACGAGGAGTCAAGCCAAAAACAGCCAAGAAAATGTTCATATCCAATTCCGACAAATACTCTCCCCCACTCCCACAACTAGCCATTAGCCAAAACTTGGTTAACATTCCCTATCTTCCTTTCTCCCACTCCGTGTTTGTTGTCTTAGAGGAGCTGTAACGGTGAGAGCCAAAGTGGGCATCTTTCCTGGGGAAAGGGCAATCCCTTCTAAGAGGGCTTTGGAGGTGACAACGTGAGGTGATAGGTTCCTCTTGCACTTCGAAGTCAGTGGCAGCACTTTGCAGAAGACGGCAATAATTGCAAAGTATTCACGGATTAATGATCACTTACTCGGTCCAGGTTTAAGCTATACAAACCTCTAAAACAAATAATAGGGCTGGAGACCCGTTAGAATAATGAATTGGTCAAAGTAAAGGAAATCCCTGGGTGTTTTCGTCAGGCATCGCCTATTTCGTAGATGTACCGTGGAGAACAAGTTTAAATGTCTTTGCTGCCAAAATAAGCTTCCTTCAGCTCTCCGTGAAATCAAATAAGTTTCCAAAGGGTGGTGAGCCAAATCCTTCCTCACATAAGAAAAGCGGGTGGCAAGGAGGGAGGGTTTGAGAGAATATAAAGAAGACTACTTAAAGTATATAAAAACTTAAAAAAAACCACCAACAATGCAATTGAAAAAAACCGATTTATCTGTCTTCATTACTTTAAGAAATGTCGTCTCTTTGTTTGTTTGGGGGATGTTAAGCATGCTTAACTTGCACACATAGTTGATTCCTTTGCTAGTATCTTGGATACTTGGATCTGACTTTGGAAGGTAGAAGCTAATTGCTAATAATGGAGAGAAAGGAATCAGCCAGCATGGCAGGAGTGGTCCGGCATATGGGGAATGAGCCCTCCGAAATACTCAATATTCAAGTTTCCAAAATATTAATGAGATTATAGCAACCTGCAGCTATATGTTACAGCTTGTTAATGGAGTGTAAGAGAAAGGGCTGCCAGGACTGACAATCGTTTGTTATGCAAACTTTATAACAGAACCTTAAAATGGAAATGTAGTTTATGCATCTCTGTCACAGAAAAAAGAAGAGAGAAAGCTAGTAGAGAGGGAAGGAAAGAAAGAAAGAAAAGGAAAGAGGAAGGAGGAAGACAGAGGACAAGGTAGTTTCCACTTTAGCCTTGAAACGCTAGATATGCCTTGAAATTAGTTGTGGACCACGTAGGGTAATTTGACCCAATTCGTGCATGCTTGTCATTTTGTCTGATGTAGAGTTTTAAATTCTTCTTTTGTTTCAGTGGTTTGTGCCTTGAAAGGAAAAGATCAACGAACTAATTCCTAAGATTAAAACACAAACATTTCTAACTCAAATACAAAAATAGTAACTTTTGAAATAATTACTTGCTTGTTACTGAGTTGTAGGAGAATAAATAGAGGAACATTTAGAAAACTCTATCTTTGGACTTTTGATATTCCTGGGTATGTATGTCATGTTCCCAGGGATTGGCATAAAGGAAAATATTGGAAGTATATAAAACTTAGGAGAAGTATATATGTTAGGAGACATAATAGCTAATATGTACATAGCACTTACTATATGCCAGACTTCTTGGGGGTTTAATCCTTGGTTTTGCCAATTACTAGCTGGGTGACTTTGGGTGAGTCATTTAATCTCTGAAGCACTCACCTGAATTGTTATCTTATATATAAGCAGGACTAGATGAAGCTATCATAGTATTTTAGTTTACAAAGGACACCAACTTCTTTAAAAGTGATCATGCTAGTGTGTGTGTGTGTATGTGTGTGTGTGTGACAAGTTAAGCTAAACCAGTTACTTCTATAAAGATGTAACAACTCACTTTGCTATTCTTTACCATTCTTCACCAACTTCAGTCTCTGGAGAAAAAATAATTCACTATTACTCTGCATATGTTCACATGGCTTTGTTGTCATTACTGAAAATAAAATAAGTATCAAAGTAGGCTGAACTTTTCACCCTTCTGTGTTATAGTATATGAAGTTTGGTGCACCCCTGATGGAAATGTGTTAGAAGCAATAGCTTGATTTATTCAACAGCCTGAAGATTTCTGATGTTTATCTTGAGAATGGCAAACTCAGTGGGTGCAAAAGGTTATCAAAGGGACAGGTGCATTGTTTCTCCCCTTAGAAAGTGTCACGATCCCTTGCTCACCTCTGTAAAGAACCTACTGGTAGCTATCAGCTTCATCTCGTGAGCTGCTCCAGCTGATTGCCAAGTATTCTAAGTTCCTTTTGCCTCTCTTTGCATCAATAGCACAGATGGGCAAGCCTTAACACAAGATGGTCTCTCTGACCTACCAGGAGCTTGGTAAGCCACCAAACCCAGTTTTGTAGCATCATTAGACTTAGAGCTGAAAGGGACCTTAAATTTAATCCAGAAGTTCTTAACCGGGGTCCAGGGACAAGGGTTTTGTGGAAAGGTTTCAGGGAGTATTTCATTTTCAATAACCTCCAACTGAAACTCGACATTTCCTTAGACACATTATTCGGAGAGGGGATCTGTAGGATTCACCAGTCTGCCAAAGTGATCCATGACAGTAATAAAGGTTAAGAAACACTGATGTAATCCAGTATCCTCACAGTATCCTCAGGGAGATTAGGTCACCTGCCATGGTCACACAGAGTAATGTGAGTCAAACTCATGTCCTTTCACTGTAGAAGAGGCACTCTTTCCACTGGGCTTGGCTCTCAAAGTCTCTAAATAGGCTTCCAGAGATTAATCTTTCTGTAAAGGTGCCTGCTAGTACCATAGATGTTACAAAGAATTTTGTTTTAAACCAAATGTTTTAAACACGGCAGGTTTGGTCTCCTAGTCCATGACCTGACCCTTATTTTTAACATTCAAATAAAGGAATTTTAATACTCCTTTCCTTCCACTCCTCTGCTATCCCTACTCCTTTAATGTTCTAAGGGGACTGACTTGCCATGAGATCCAGAACAATGCCCCCTCCTTGGGAAGACACATGCCTGGACAGTTACCAAAAGGAGCACTTCGTGTCTGCAATTGTCCCCAAATTTCAGGACACAATACTATATCACGGCAGTAACATTTCAACTCCTTTGAATGGGGAAATTACAAGGGAAATGTCTTTTATTTCAAAAGTCAATACTTGTAAAAGGAAACATAAATTGAATTTGTAAAGAATTTTCAACCTGTATCTTTTTAGTGTACCCTTTTCTCCCCCCCCCTTTTTCATCCCCGCTTGTTTGTCCAATTGAGGCAGAGAAGCATTTGCTTTTAGCTTGCAAGTTTGTCCCGTGTTTGACTAACACGAAACGATTTACCTTTGATTATAGCTTTTTTTAAAATGAAATGAAACTAGCCAATCACAATAAAGGTCACTGATGTCAAGTTCTCCTGAGCCTCCAGAAGCCTTACTCTTTAAGAGGGGAAACCTTAGAGGAAAGCTTCGGAGTTTTCTTATAAATAGGGCATCTAGGAGACTGATACAGCATATGTAACGGTTTTATTTCACAATATCAGTTTTGAGGACTTGAAAATGTATACACAGATCACAGCCTCTAAGGCTACCTATAGCTAAGAAGTATAAAGCAAACATGCAAACAATCCCTGATCAAGTTCATCTGAGTTTCATAAGACACTCCTCTATTCTAGAAGATTCATTTTAAAACATCTGCCCATTTTAAAATAATGATCGTTGAAAAACAAGAGTCAAACCAGGTCCAGTTTTTCACATTTATTTTCATCTTTTGCAAAAGAAAGTACATCATAAAACAATGGCAGTTGGCTTTTCTAAATTAAAATAAATGATCTTGTAGAAAAAGTAAAAAATGAAAAGATAAGTAGAAACGGTAGCAAACACTCGGTAATAAATAAGTTTTCTAACATCAATAAAGCTAAATAAAATCGACCAAAATTTTTGACACGGCTAAATTGTTTTTTTTTTCCTTTTTAAAGCAAACATTTGCAAGGAGCTTAAAGATTATAAGTGGCTATGTTAAAAACTGGTTTCCAGTTGGCAGTTACATTTCCTCTTGGAGCCGCATTTGTTGCGGCTGATAAAGTGCGTGCGCCAAGCTTCCTTAAAGACACCGACGTTATCAATATTAGATATGCGTAATGGTTATATTTATATACTATATTTATATATATAAACCTCAAGGCTTCGCCTTTTCTGACAGTTACACATATCCAAAAGGCATACTCTTTATAAGCATCTTGCTTTCCATAAGAAAAAAAAATTAAAAATCAGGAATATAACTTCGGAAGACTACCGCCCACACATGAGCACGCGAAAAACAGGAATGCCCAGGGCATAAAATAAATTAAACCCAAATTAGCAATGGAAGTGAAGCTGCTGGTTTTAAGCAGCTTGTTGGCAGCAGGGAACTAGCCTATTGATGTAAAAATATACATACTGTATATATCTACAAAGGGCCAGAAGGTAGAGACAAAGGAAACTATGTTAACAACCAATTTTCACCAAGAACATGGGGGGGAGGGGAGAGTTTATAAAGCCACCAAATGTTGCAAACGCGGCCAAGTCTTTGCTAGACAATGACAAATCACGTAGCAACATGAAAAGTGGGACACCTTTCTCGGTAATCTGATGGAGTCAATTCTGGTTTTGTTTTTGTCTCGGTTTACTTTGTTGTAACTGTTACCTCCCTAACTTGCCTCGTCCGAGTCACTGTAATGAGAATGAGGGGAAAACTCCCCATCACTTCTGTGCGACCTGGGAGAAGTTTTGCTACTTTCTTCCTGCACCGGCTGCAAGATGCCTCCGGGCAGAGAAGGAGACAGGGTCTTTTGAGCCATCATAGCGGTCAGAGCGGTTTCTTCGAAAGATGAGAAGTGCAGAGCGTCCAGTTGCACCGAGTAACCTCCTGCAGAGGTCGGGCCCGAGAAGCGTGTCCTGCAATTACCCTGCGGAGAAGGACGCGATCCACCTCCAGGGGCAGGGGAGACTGCAGAAGTGCTGGCCGCGCCTGCACTCGAATCGTATGAAGATGCTCGGAGGTGGTGGTGGTCGTTTTTGCAGGAGGCTGGGGGCTGGGTTGGCTGCTCGCCACCGCTAGGTGTTTGCAGTAAATCGGACAGGGCATTAATGTAGATTTGAGCCATCTGCAGAGTTTCGTACTTGGAGAGCTTCTTGTCGTTATTGAAGGACGGGATAACGTTGCGCAGCTGGTCGAAGGCGTGGTTGAGCCCGTGCATCCTTCTCCTTTCTCTAGCATTGGCAGCCAGCCTTCTCTGCTTCTGCACCCCGTTCACCTGTTTGCTGGAAGGGGCTCTCTGCCTGGGGCAGCTCAGTTCATCCACCATCAACCCACCTTTCAGTTTGCACAACTGCTCCCGCACTTTCACCGAACCAGGACTCTTGCTGAGGCTGCTGGTGCTTCCACTGCTGCTGCTGGTGCTTCCACTGCTGCTGCTGCTGCTGCTGCTGCTGCTGCTGCTGCTGTTACTGCCGCTCCTCCTCACAAGTTCCCCCCTTGGGTCGGTCTCGTCGTGGTGGGACAGGGTCTCAGCTGCACCCAGTTCCGGGGAATGCAGCAAGTATTGGGCGGCGCGTGCCGTGCAGATGCCCTGCAAAGTGGGAGCCAGCCAGGCGCGTGGATCGGTGCTGTCCAAGAGCGACAGCCCAGGAGGATAGCCTTGGTGCTCTCTCCCAGGAAGATTCGGAGCTGGCTGCGGCTGCTGTTGCTGTTGGTTGTGGTGATGTTGTTGGGGATGGGAGTGGTGGTGGTGGTCTCCTAACTCCTTCACTTCAGCCCACTCTTCTGCGTGCAGCAGACGGGACATTGCACCACCGGGTCGATCGTAAGGTGTAGCCCCGTTCACTCGCAATCAGCACTCTTACAGCAAAAACCTTTCAAGGTTTTCTTTTGCAAAGTTTTATTTTTTCCCCCTCCCTCCCCCACCCACCCCCGAGATCACACACCAGGTCGCGTGCAACGAGGCTTCTCCGGTTGCTGAAGGCGCTGCGCCCCTTTAAAAAGCGGCACGCGCCAGTGTGTCTTTCCACCTCCCCCCTCTCCCAGCCCCCTCCTCGCGCCGGTCGCGTGTCAAGTCAGCCAATGGAGGCTGAGGACAGGCGCGTGCGAGGAGCCAATCAAAAAGTTTTACACGGGGAGAAAAGTTACTGCACTGGGGAGAAAGGCTCTCTCCCAAGTTTTTTTTTTCCTTTCTTTTCCTTTTAAGTCATCAAATTCATATGTTAATAGAAGAGTTGTAATTTGACTCCAGTGTTGTGTCACCAGAGGGCTGATATCTATGCTCCGTGTGTGTGTGTGTGTGTGTGTGTGTGTGTGTGTGTGTGTGTGTGACCTATAGGCATACAGCCTTATGCTACTTCCATCAAAAGCTCTCAGTACCAGATCTGCTCACAGTGTTCTAGGGAGAGCCTTGTTGTTCAGGCTTCTTGTGGTTCCCCGAGAGGAAACCTGTCCTTCACCTTCTTTCTTTCCCTAGAGCGCCGGCGGATAGGTGGTGGGGGCACCCAGAACACAGACAGATATACCCACCCACCCATTTCTTTTCTTTTTATTTTGGTCTTTGTTTCCCCAGCGTCTCTAGCTGCAGTACCTGGCCAAACTGTAGGCGATCATCAAATCTGAAGCAACTGTATTTTATACTTTATTAAGAAATGTCGGTCACATAAAAGCACTGTCAACTGATTGAAAAACATACCTGTTACAGATCTTTCACGAAGTTTATGTAATTTTGTCCCATAACTTTTCTTCTTAGTTCATGAGTCACTCTACAACTAATACTTTTTCAATCAACTTTTTTTAAATGACGAAAGTATATTAACATAATATGTCGAATTCTATCCTGATATCCACTGACTAGCTCCGAGCTCTCAATCTTAACTTGCTTTAATTTCTTGAAAGTTTTCCCCAAAGCGAAGTGCTGAAAAACTCGACAGCCGAGCTGCAGTACTTCCTAGAAAAACGCAGAAGCCCAGGTAGAATTGGCAAAGGATAAAGAAGAGCCAGCAGTACTAATCAATTTGGAAAACTTTCAAGTACCATAAACTGTGAGTGTGCGTCTTCCCCAAGGATTTACAGACTTGAGTACAGCTTTTGCTAGGCACAGACCAAGTTATCTAACGCGTCTGCTTCCCGACCTAGCTGCACGCTTTGCTGGCGGCGCGCTGCCTCGAGTTTTTCAGACCAGAGGGAAATAACAGCGGTTGCTTAGCTAGTTGGGGAAGCTGCAGCCTGAGCCCTCCAGGTGAGCTCTCCCTAACCTCTCCCTAGTCTCTGGAGGATTAGTCTAGCCTCGTTCTATTCACAGCCCAGATCCAATCAGAAGCCGTCCTCCTCCCAGGGCACGCTCCAGCTCGCGCTGCTCCTGCCCCACCTCTCCGCCTTTTTTTTCCAGAACCTTGGCTGTGGTGGGAGACTGGGGAGACCAACCTGCTTCAGTCTTTCCTTGTGCCCCACTCACTGTGGCTCCACTATTTGTAGCAGGGATGTTAATTCAAGTAAGAAAGACAATAGAGAAAAAAGTGAGAGCGAACGAGGCCGGCTCTCAGCCCTTCTTGTTATGTTCTCTAGTATTTTCAAAGGACCTTCCAACTCATACCCATTACAGGGTGAAACTTTCTGGGATTGGTTTACTTTCTAGTTCTTAATCTTTTATTCTTATGATGCAGGATTTTTATAGAGCAGTGATAGGAACTTTTCTTTGAACCTTCCTTCCTTCCTCACTTCTTTCCTTTCTCTCTCTCTTCCTTCCTTCCTTCCTTCCTTCCTTCCTTCCTTCCTTCCTTCCTTCCTTCCTTCCTTCCTTCCTTCCTTCCTTCTTCCTTCCTCCCTTCCTTCCTTCCTCTTTGCAACTTTCGGAGACATTTCTAGATTTATGAACCATTAGTGTTCGCGCAACTCAGTTTAGGCTTTGGGGAAGAGTATTTTTTAAATTAGCATTTACATGCATGCATATGTTAAATTACATGATACAATACGTAGATCATTACAAGCATAGAAATATATTGTTAAAATTGTTACTACGTGTATCTAAATGTGTGCGAAATTAAAGTTAATTTGTATTTGATTCAGGATAATCTCTGAACAATTGAAATTGAAAATCACCCAAAGGGAGAGATGCATTGTGTCCTGAACAAACTGTAACGCATTACCAACTAGGAATTAGGAAAAACAAGCTTTGTACAGGAGGAAATCAAATGCATGAGAGGAAAAAGGTAGGTGTGGTCATTAAGTGTGAGGAACAGACAGCCCAAAGGATCCATTGGTCTGGTATCCTAGACCTGTCAGGAGAAAGTGAAGAAGGCCTCCAGCACACTGGGTGGATCCTCCCTTGACAAACTTTCCTTTGAAGTAGTTTTGAGGAAGAATAGAACTAATTAGACAATTAGATCTGATCGGCTTGAATAATGAAGCTCCTGAAGTAGTCCTATGTAATCAAATGTACACTATTTGAAGTTATAATTATATTAAATATGGTCATGGTTTCCAGCCCAATGCAAATATGTGCTGCAAATTGGAGTAATGTGACTACTTCAGGGGACTCATTAACACTATCTCGTTCACACTATTCGGGACCAGCAGCAGCATTAGAATTTCTTTAAAGTAATCCGGAGGACTCTGTGTGTGAATAGGTGATCTCAGGGATGTGGGAGACATTAAGTTTTGGGATATCCTTTACAAAATTATTTTTCTATTGCTTATAAAAAAGAGGCTGCAAATTTAGTCTATTCCCCAGATCTCATTTTAAAAATACAATTCAATCCAAACATAATTTCTAGTTCAATTAGGCCTTTGGTTGTTAGAACTAAATTAAATATTCTTAATAAGACTGAAAATTTCTTCTGAGATGTCAAAAGCATTATAATATACAGATAGTGAGAACTATGTTTAAAAATTCTACAGAGTGCTTCTTCTCTCTTCCATCCGCATGAATGTACAGGTTATTTATCACCTAGACACTAATTTAAGTGCTTAGAGTGTCTTGTCAAAGTGTTTTCATTGATGGCATTTCTAGTAGTATAGGATAATTAAAAGTGATCACATTAGATCGCTCTACCTGGCCAATTTTACCTTTGTTAAGCCCAGAAAAAATGTGTGTGAAAATTCATTTTCAAATCACTTCCAAATTAATCACTAATTCAGTTGAGCAAAGATGCCACTCAATGGACAACCACTGACTAGCCTGTACTTGCATCTATGCTCGTGGAATTCCTGGGCTCTCGCTTTCATATGAACTTTCGTTTTGCTGTGTATATTTAGAACTATGTGTCACAAGTTAATGTAACGCACAGATGGATAGTTAATTTTGAGAGTCCTTCCTCTTGTACTGGCTGCTACAAAAATCAGAGTTAAAGTTACTTGTCAGACACTATAGGTAAGATGACAGGTTTGTTGACTCTATGAAATCAGTTTCTGACATGTTACCTATTTTGATGTTCAGAAATTTATGTTTACTTTGTTTGAGCTCTATAATATTTAATATGTAACATTGCATCTCTTCTTCAATTAGAAAACAAGAATTTATTAAGTGTCTATGTGGCAAGTACTGTGTTAGTGATTGGAAATAAAAAGAAGTGAAATCATCTTTGCTTTCAGAAAGTTTCCTTTCTAATAAGAAGCAGTATGTTCTCATGCAAACAAAAATCCATATTAAGAATAAATACAATAGGATTGGGGGAAGGAGATTCTGGAAAGGAAGCCTCTTTTTAAAATTAGTTAATTTATTTTTAGTTTTCAATATTCACTTCCATAAGATTTTGAATTCCAAATTTTCTCCCCCTCCTTCCCCTTTCCTCACTCCGAGATGGTGTGCAATCTGATATAGGCTCTACATATGCATTCACATTAAATATATTTTCACATTAGTCATATTATAAAGAAGAATTAGAACCAATGGGAGGAACAATGAGAAAGAAGAAAAAAAAGAGAGAGACAGAGAGCAAATGATGAGTCAGGACTGGAGCCGTATATATTAATGTAGGAATCATCTATACAAGATCACAATGACAAAGAATATAGAGAAGAGACAGAGCCTTGGAATACACCAAATAGGGAAAATAGGACTCAAGAATGATATTGCAGTTTAAAAAAAAAAGACTGAGGAGTATTTAGACAGATAGGAGGAGATCTAGAAAAGAGCAATACCATTGGAAACTCTGGGAAGAGAAGGTATTTAGAAAAAGGCTAACTGAAAACAATATTTATTGTTTTTCTATCTTAGGTCCTTCTCAGGACAAAATAAGCAGATTTTTAAGAGAAAAGAAAAATAAGAGAATTTCTTTTTTTAGGCTGATAAACAGGCTTAATAGTATTTAATCAAAGAAGAACATTTCTACAATAGAGAAGATTTAGGTAACTGATTAACATTGTCACATAATACTCATTTGAAAAATTCTGTTTCCCAATTTAAGATGCACTTCATACTGTCTGTATATGGCAATGACATTGAGCTCAAATCCTCCTAACTCCAGGCCCTGTTCTCTGGCCACTGTACCAACAAGCTGTCTCCCTGTGTAGAATCTCAAAAGGGCACTCACTACAGAAAGGCAATCATTTTATAGCTCCCTAAGTAACTCACCATCCCACTGACCACAGTCGTTTTTCCATACCTTTTCAGCTCTTCTTAAACCTTCCATAGCTCGCTTTCCTATACCCTCACAACTGAGAAAATTACCTTATACTTTTCATTGAAAAAAAATTAAACCATTCACTTAGATCTTCTCCTTCTCCCCTCGTCTTCATCTCACTACACTAAGATACCTTCTATCACTATCCCTTCAACCTTGTCTCAGATGAAGAGGTGGTCCTTCT